TTTTTTTTTTTTTTTTTTTTTTTTTTTTTTTTTTTTTTTTTTTTTTTTTTTTTTTTTTTTTTTTTTTTTTTTTTTTTTTTTTTTTTTTTTTTTTTTTTTTTTTTTTTTTTTTTTTTTTTTTTTTTTTTTTTTTTTTTTTTTTTTTTTTTTTTTTTTTTTTTTTTTTTTTTTTTTTTTTTTTTTTTTTTTTTTTTTTTTTTTTTTTTTTTTTTTTTTTTTTTTTTTTTTTTTTTTTTTTTTTTTTTTTTTTTTTTTTTTTTTTTTTTTTTTTTTTTTTTTTTTTTTTTTTTTTTTTTTTTTTTTTTTTTTTTTTTTTTTTTTTTTTTTTTTTTTTTTTTTTTTTTTTTTTTTTTTTTTTTTTTTTTTTTTTTTTTTTTTTTTTTTTTTTTTTTTTTTTTTTTTTTTTTTTTTTTTTTTTTTTTTTTTTTTTTTTTTTTTTTTTTTTTTTTTTTTTTTTTTTTTTTTTTTTTTTTTTTTTTTTTTTTTTTTTTTTTTTTTTTTTTTTTTTTTTTTTTTTTTTTTTTTTTTTTTTTTTTTTTTTTTTTTTTTTTTTTTTTTTTTTTTTTTTTTTTTTTTTTTTTTTTTTTTTTTTTTTTTTTTTTTTTTTTTTTTTTTTTTTTTTTTTTTTTTTTTTTTTTTTTTTTTTTTTTTTTTTTTTTTTTTTTTTTTTTTTTTTTTTTTTTTTTTTTTTTTTTTTTTTTTTTTTTTTTTTTTTTTTTTTTTTTTTTTTTTTTTTTTTTTTTTTTTTTTTTTTTTTTTTTTTTTTTTTTTTTTTTTTTTTTTTTTTTTTTTTTTTTTTTTTTTTTTTTTTTTTTTTTTTTTTTTTTTTTTTTTTTTTTTTTTTTTTTTTTTTTTTTTTTTTTTTTTTTTTTTTTTTTTTTTTTTTTTTTTTTTTTTTTTTTTTTTTTTTTTTTTTTTTTTTTTTTTTTTTTTTTTTTTTTTTTTTTTTTTTTTTTTTTTTTTTTTTTTTTTTTTTTTTTTTTTTTTTTTTTTTTTTTTTTTTTTTTTTTTTTTTTTTTTTTTTTTTTTTTTTTTTTTTTTTTTTTTTTTTTTTTTTTTTTTTTTTTTTTTTTTTTTTTTTTTTTTTTTTTTTTTTTTTTTTTTTTTTTTTTTTTTTTTTTTTTTTTTTTTTTTTTTTTTTTTTTTTTTTTTTTTTTTTTTTTTTTTTTTTTTTTTTTTTTTTTTTTTTTTTTTTTTTTTTTTTTTTTTTTTTTTTTTTTTTTTTTTTTTTTTTTTTTTTTTTTTTTTTTTTTTTTTTTTTTTTTTTTTTTTTTTTTTTTTTTTTTTTTTTTTTTTTTTTTTTTTTTTTTTTTTTTTTTTTTTTTTTTTTTTTTTTTTTTTTTTTTTTTTTTTTTTTTTTTTTTTTTTTTTTTTTTTTTTTTTTTTTTTTTTTTTTTTTTTTTTTTTTTTTTTTTTTTTTTTTTTTTTTTTTTTTTTTTTTTTTTTTTTTTTTTTTTTTTTTTTTTTTTTTTTTTTTTTTTTTTTTTTTTTTTTTTTTTTTTTTTTTTTTTTTTTTTTTTTTTTTTTTTTTTTTTTTTTTTTTTTTTTTTTTTTTTTTTTTTTTTTTTTTTTTTTTTTTTTTTTTTTTTTTTTTTTTTTTTTTTTTTTTTTTTTTTTTTTTTTTTTTTTTTTTTTTTTTTTTTTTTTTTTTTTTTTTTTTTTTTTTTTTTTTTTTTTTTTTTTTTTTTTTTTTTTTTTTTTTTTTTTTTTTTTTTTTTTTTTTTTTTTTTTTTTTTTTTTTTTTTTTTTTTTTTTTTTTTTTTTTTTTTTTTTTTTTTTTTTTTTTTTTTTTTTTTTTTTTTTTTTTTTTTTTTTTTTTTTTTTTTTTTTTTTTTTTTTTTTTTTTTTTTTTTTTTTTTTTTTTTTTTTTTTTTTTTTTTTTTTTTTTTTTTTTTTTTTTTTTTTTTTTTTTTTTTTTTTTTTTTTTTTTTTTTTTTTTTTTTTTTTTTTTTTTTTTTTTTTTTTTTTTTTTTTTTTTTTTTTTTTTTTTTTTTTTTTTTTTTTTTTTTTTTTTTTTTTTTTTTTTTTTTTTTTTTTTTTTTTTTTTTTTTTTTTTTTTTTTTTTTTTTTTTTTTTTTTTTTTTTTTTTTTTTTTTTTTTTTTTTTTTTTTTTTTTTTTTTTTTTTTTTTTTTTTTTTTTTTTTTTTTTTTTTTTTTTTTTTTTTTTTTTTTTTTTTTTTTTTTTTTTTTTTTTTTTTTTTTTTTTTTTTTTTTTTTTTTTTTTTTTTTTTTTTTTTTTTTTTTTTTTTTTTTTTTTTTTTTTTTTTTTTTTTTTTTTTTTTTTTTTTTTTTTTTTTTTTTTTTTTTTTTTTTTTTTTTTTTTTTTTTTTTTTTTTTTTTTTTTTTTTTTTTTTTTTTTTTTTTTTTTTTTTTTTTTTTTTTTTTTTTTTTTTTTTTTTTTTTTTTTTTTTTTTTTTTTTTTTTTTTTTTTTTTTTTTTTTTTTTTTTTTTTTTTTTTTTTTTTTTTTTTTTTTTTTTTTTTTTTTTTTTTTTTTTTTTTTTTTTTTTTTTTTTTTTTTTTTTTTTTTTTTTTTTTTTTTTTTTTTTTTTTTTTTTTTTTTTTTTTTTTTTTTTTTTTTTTTTTTTTTTTTTTTTTTTTTTTTTTTTTTTTTTTTTTTTTTTTTTTTTTTTTTTTTTTTTTTTTTTTTTTTTTTTTTTTTTTTTTTTTTTTTTTTTTTTTTTTTTTTTTTTTTTTTTTTTTTTTTTTTTTTTTTTTTTTTTTTTTTTTTTTTTTTTTTTTTTTTTTTTTTTTTTTTTTTTTTTTTTTTTTTTTTTTTTTTTTTTTTTTTTTTTTTTTTTTTTTTTTTTTTTTTTTTTTTTTTTTTTTTTTTTTTTTTTTTTTTTTTTTTTTTTTTTTTTTTTTTTTTTTTTTTTTTTTTTTTTTTTTTTTTTTTTTTTTTTTTTTTTTTTTTTTTTTTTTTTTTTTTTTTTTTTTTTTTTTTTTTTTTTTTTTTTTTTTTTTTTTTTTTTTTTTTTTTTTTTTTTTTTTTTTTTTTTTTTTTTTTTTTTTTTTTTTTTTTTTTTTTTTTTTTTTTTTTTTTTTTTTTTTTTTTTTTTTTTTTTTTTTTTTTTTTTTTTTTTTTTTTTTTTTTTTTTTTTTTTTTTTTTTTTTTTTTTTTTTTTTTTTTTTTTTTTTTTTTTTTTTTTTTTTTTTTTTTTTTTTTTTTTTTTTTTTTTTTTTTTTTTTTTTTTTTTTTTTTTTTTTTTTTTTTTTTTTTTTTTTTTTTTTTTTTTTTTTTTTTTTTTTTTTTTTTTTTTTTTTTTTTTTTTTTTTTTTTTTTTTTTTTTTTTTTTTTTTTTTTTTTTTTTTTTTTTTTTTTTTTTTTTTTTTTTTTTTTTTTTTTTTTTTTTTTTTTTTTTTTTTTTTTTTTTTTTTTTTTTTTTTTTTTTTTTTTTTTTTTTTTTTTTTTTTTTTTTTTTTTTTTTTTTTTTTTTTTTTTTTTTTTTTTTTTTTTTTTTTTTTTTTTTTTTTTTTTTTTTTTTTTTTTTTTTTTTTTTTTTTTTTTTTTTTTTTTTTTTTTTTTTTTTTTTTTTTTTTTTTTTTTTTTTTTTTTTTTTTTTTTTTTTTTTTTTTTTTTTTTTTTTTTTTTTTTTTTTTTTTTTTTTTTTTTTTTTTTTTTTTTTTTTTTTTTTTTTTTTTTTTTTTTTTTTTTTTTTTTTTTTTTTTTTTTTTTTTTTTTTTTTTTTTTTTTTTTTTTTTTTTTTTTTTTTTTTTTTTTTTTTTTTTTTTTTTTTTTTTTTTTTTTTTTTTTTTTTTTTTTTTTTTTTTTTTTTTTTTTTTTTTTTTTTTTTTTTTTTTTTTTTTTTTTTTTTTTTTTTTTTTTTTTTTTTTTTTTTTTTTTTTTTTTTTTTTTTTTTTTTTTTTTTTTTTTTTTTTTTTTTTTTTTTTTTTTTTTTTTTTTTTTTTTTTTTTTTTTTTTTTTTTTTTTTTTTTTTTTTTTTTTTTTTTTTTTTTTTTTTTTTTTTTTTTTTTTTTTTTTTTTTTTTTTTTTTTTTTTTTTTTTTTTTTTTTTTTTTTTTTTTTTTTTTTTTTTTTTTTTTTTTTTTTTTTTTTTTTTTTTTTTTTTTTTTTTTTTTTTTTTTTTTTTTTTTTTTTTTTTTTTTTTTTTTTTTTTTTTTTTTTTTTTTTTTTTTTTTTTTTTTTTTTTTTTTTTTTTTTTTTTTTTTTTTTTTTTTTTTTTTTTTTTTTTTTTTTTTTTTTTTTTTTTTTTTTTTTTTTTTTTTTTTTTTTTTTTTTTTTTTTTTTTTTTTTTTTTTTTTTTTTTTTTTTTTTTTTTTTTTTTTTTTTTTTTTTTTTTTTTTTTTTTTTTTTTTTTTTTTTTTTTTTTTTTTTTTTTTTTTTTTTTTTTTTTTTTTTTTTTTTTTTTTTTTTTTTTTTTTTTTTTTTTTTTTTTTTTTTTTTTTTTTTTTTTTTTTTTTTTTTTTTTTTTTTTTTTTTTTTTTTTTTTTTTTTTTTTTTTTTTTTTTTTTTTTTTTTTTTTTTTTTTTTTTTTTTTTTTTTTTTTTTTTTTTTTTTTTTTTTTTTTTTTTTTTTTTTTTTTTTTTTTTTTTTTTTTTTTTTTTTTTTTTTTTTTTTTTTTTTTTTTTTTTTTTTTTTTTTTTTTTTTTTTTTTTTTTTTTTTTTTTTTTTTTTTTTTTTTTTTTTTTTTTTTTTTTTTTTTTTTTTTTTTTTTTTTTTTTTTTTTTTTTTTTTTTTTTTTTTTTTTTTTTTTTTTTTTTTTTTTTTTTTTTTTTTTTTTTTTTTTTTTTTTTTTTTTTTTTTTTTTTTTTTTTTTTTTTTTTTTTTTTTTTTTTTTTTTTTTTTTTTTTTTTTTTTTTTTTTTTTTTTTGAAATAAATTTTCTTGCATTTAGTATATCTTAGAGAATTAAAATTTATATTTTAATGTAGAATTATGATTGGATTTTTATTTTATTAATTTTGTTTAATCTTTTGAAAATAATAATTTAAAATGCACGATATTTAAATAAATATACGATAATTGAATTTTATTTTGTTTAGATAAAACGAGAGAGATGCCATATGGAATGCCTTACTCCGCACAAACAGGGGATACTCTTGCACAGGTAATTTGAAACATAAGAAATATATTTTATAAATTTTTTAAACTAATTTTGTAAATTTTTACATAATATATTAATTTTCTAATATTAATTCAGAAAAAAAATATTAAATTATTTTAAGGCTGTGAGTTGATCAATACTTCCACCAAAAGCCTTAAATTATTTTCCAGTAAGGGTTAATTCAAAAAAGTTTTTTGACGAACATTTTCAAATCTGTAATTAGAGATCTTTTTTACGTCTTGATTCTATAATTGTTGACGGAAACAACAACAATGAATATAGAATCAAATCGAAAATGGTTGTCAGAAAAACTTTTTTAAATTAACCCTTACTGGAAAATAATTTAAAGCTTGTGATGGAAGTATTTACTATAACACTTCAGTCTAAGAAGTGGTATTTTATGTCACTTGATTCCATTTATTGTACTAATACTTTTTTAAAGAAAGTTTTTAAAAAGTACCCTTTTTTAAGCAAAAAGTCATAAATTCTACAATTTTGTTCAATATATTTATTATACCCATACCTCAAAAGTGAAATTTCAACACCATGAAAGAATATGCATAGCCACATACAGATTGCAGAACTGGTAGAGGTGACAGAGATATGCAAATGATGATGTTTGCATACACATCGGGTCATGTGGTACCCAGTTTGCTGCTATAAAGACTAGCAGCCAGCTCAGGCTGTAAATGCTATTAACAATGATTTACAGAAGCTGAACTTTCAAAGAAGTATAGAAAATGTGTTGGAGATGATGGTGAGCTGAATACTGCCAGTTAACAGTTGGGGAACACGATCATATCTTGGAACTGCAGAACCTTGATTTGTCGATGTGCACAGTTGCCAAGTGTGTTGGGCATGACATGAGTACCATCCAGTAATGTGTGACACGATGGACTTAGATTGTAACTTAAAGGTTGATGAAGACCCAGGACTACTCATAGGTATTGCCTGGGGTGAAAGAGTTGGTGAGAGAAAGGGGGACATGATGGATGCAGGAACATCTGTGAACATGCTAAAGAGGAAGTGGATCACACAGGCAGGTGAGAGTTCACAGACTGGCAGATTTGTGAAACAGCCTGTGACATCCAAAGCCACCTGTTGCCGTCAATGGGTGCATTTGTGTCCACCAGGGCTTGGAGTCGGAGTTGGGAGGAATTTCTGGCCAGAGGAGTCGGAGTCGGAAAAAAATATGTTGACTCTGACTCCCGCATTTTAAATTTACATTAGTTTTTTTATTTAAATGAAAGAAAATTTATTATATATTTATTAATTTTTTAAAATCTATTTGCATTTTGTTATAATTCATTTATTTTAAATACAAAATGCAGCAATTTAATTTATTAAATATATAGTGTTCTTTGTAGTATTTGTGTTTAGTAGTTAAATTATTTTGACCCAATTGAATTTGAATATTTTTGAATCATTCCTTTATCATCTCTGCTCTAAATAAATACTCTATTTTTTTGAATGAGCCAGTCTAATTGGTCAGAGTACATATTTTTCTTTTTTGAACAAGGGGGCTGAAGTAGCTAGATCACACACTTTTTAGTTGTATACTCTCACCTAAATGTCAAATTTCCAGCAAAACACCCAAATTCAACATTCGAACGTAACACCCAAATTCAACATTCGAACGTTTTCGGCCACTTGTTAATTGGCCTTCATCAGGAAAAGTCAAAATGAAAATAACTGTTCTATTTATAGAATGTTGCTGCGTTGTACATGTAATTTTTAAAAATTACATGTACAACATTGAATTTGGATGTTTTGCTGGAAATTTGATGTTTGTATGAGAATATATATGTTACCGCTAAAGCTCGAAAGTTGTTAATGTGTACATTACCTAGCTAATCTGCAGATTAACTAGGGTGATCCGTTAAAGTTGCTAAAATTGTTCTATTTCTCAAATTACCTAGGTAATGTGCAGATTATCTAGGTAATCTGCAAATTACCTACTAGGCACTCGGTAAAGTGAAAATAAGATCTTTGCTGAAACAACAGCAACGTTTCTGTACGCTTAAATTAACATAATGTTCTTTATTTAATTTTCGATATCTAAAGAATCAAGTTAATACAATCAAACAATCGACAAATTAGTTGATAGAATCAATCATCAACCAATTAAAAAACATACAAAAAATCAAACGATTTAAAATATTAATACAATTAGGGAAATTATTATATAGATAACCACCTATGGAATTTCGGGACTTTGAGTATCTATCTGAACTGAGGGGACCGAGACGACTTCAACGATACCCTACTTTTGGACCGGAGACGAAAAATAATAAAGTTATCATACTTTTTCTGGTGATCGCATGATATAATTGTGCAGTTAATGTTACCTATGGTGAGTAAAATGGCGGCTCGTCTCTGATTCCAGCAAACAGAAGAAAGGAAACAGTGGGGACGCACGTTCTAACCTAACCTAACCTATTCTAATAAATTACCATAATTATTACCAACCAAATTATTAGAATAGGTTAGGTTAGGTTTGAACGTGCGTCCCCACTGTTTCCTTTCTTCTCTTTGCTGGAATCAGAGACGAGCCGCCATTTTACTCACCATAGGTAACATTATCCAATTGTGCTTACTTATTAGTGCAGTCTAAAGATTGGTGACACTTTGAATTTCATAGCAATTGGTTTTTGCGACAAGCACACCTATTTGTGATACATTTATTTGTAGCAAAGATCTTATTTTCACTTTACCGAGTGCCTAGTAGGTAATGTGCGGATTACCTAGATACTCTGCACATTATCTAGATAATTTGAGAAATGGAACAATTTTCACAACTTTAACGGATCACCCTAGTTAATCTGCAGATTAGCTAGGCAATGTACACATTAACGACTTTCGAGCTTTAGCGGTAAGATATATATTGTTCCAGTTTATTTTCTGGTTTTTATATACTTTTTAGTTGGACTAACTCTTCTGAAAGGGTGAAATTGAAGTGCAAATGCTGTCGAATATATGTAGATGTAGAATTTTATCACCCCCTTTCTTTTTTTATTAAATATTTGTTAAAAATTAAATTTTTATACAAATAAATATTAATGTAAGTTAAATATTAAAAATACTAACTATTTGGGTAAATGCCCCAGGCTCCTTTCAGAGTAGGATACCTCCTATGAGCACCTCTGCTCCCATAAATTGACTTGGTATTTAATTTTGCTGGAGTTGGCCTACTAAAATTATCAGGAGTTGGAGTTGAATGTTTTTTTACCAACTTCACAGCCCTTGTGTCCACTCAAATCATTTGTGACAGTTGGACCGCACGCACAGAAACCAGTAATAGGAGTCCCATTAACCACTTAACATCAGTGTTGTCATTGACCAGACTCTATGCTGGATTCCCATCTGAGGTATGTTCAAGCCAGAGCAAACCCCGTGGCTCAAACTGGCTAGACAGGACTACGGCCTTAATGGAGAGGCAATCAGGACCATCTATGAGATGGGTTTGGAGCACATGATTTGCTATGCCAACATCAAATAGAGCAGGACACTGCTTGCCATTCAAAAACCTGCTGCCTAGAGCCATCAGTGTATATTTCAACACCACTGTTCATCAGTTCACCGACATCCGAATCCAGTCCTATCCTATAGGCAGGATGGACCCCCCCAGTATGTCTGACTGACATCCAAGTTTGATGACTGGGTACATCTGATTGCCTCTAAGCCTTCCACTGTTGTCCTGTAGAAAGCTGCCTCCTGGCTGACAACGAGAGGAAATGGAAGTAGCTCAGCCAGAATGTGGACCATCTCCATAGATACAGTTCTGTATGCTTGTGTTACCTGCATGTATGATGTGTTGACCTGAAGTGGGTCTAAGACCACAATGGGATCCCAGACAACGAGTATGCCAATAACCTGGCTAAGGAGGCTGCCAAGAGCCCATTTGTAATGAAGATGGTCGAACCTTTAGCCTCTTACATAAAAGGTACTCTACTGCAATAATCTGACACACTGGCAAGAGACCTGGACTCAAAATACAGTAGGTAGATCAACCTGTGCCTTTGTGTCTGAAGTTGGTTCAAACTCCTGTAAGTTGTGATTGGTTAGTGACCCAAATACTTATTGGACACTGGTGGTTTCCGCACTTCAAGTCCAAGTTAGGACAAGGAGATGGTTGCTGTTCCTGTAGGTGCCCTTGAGGCACTATGTACTTGACTGCCCTCTCACTGAGGGCTTCTGCCAGAAGGCTGACCATGTCAACTGTTCAAAATACTTGTTCAGCCTCCTGAACAAGTATTTTGAATGTTAGCAACAAGTAAAGGAAACTTACTGAAACTAAAGGAATATACAATTGAAAGTGTAATGTCTTGGAACATAAAATGGTGATCCCTTTTGGGCAGATTTCGTCTTCATTCTTATTGGAAACTAAAGGAATTGATGGGAATTGTAATAGGTCTCTTTGACTCTTGCTCAGTGGATGCACTGGGCAAGGCCCTCTTTCTAGAAAAGAGGGCCCCGCTGATCATATATGAGTTGTACTCTGTTTGGTAGAAGACTCAAAGTGCAGAACAGGCTGCACCAAAACTATATGTAAAGTAAGAGGATTGGACTTGAGAGCGAAGAAGGCTAGTCCCCATTGGCTTGTACTGCCAGATCCTGAGCATTTAACTCAGTCTGATTTTAATTGTTCAGACATCTGAGTGATGGTGTTACAACACCAACACACCCCGTTGTGGGACCATGTGGCGATGCTCAGGTAGTGCAATCAGAAGAGCCTGGTGTATGTTTGAGAGGCCCTGCTTATCATATTACTAAATCCGTGCAATTCCCCCACACCTGAGTTGCCTGCTATTTGGGTCAGCTTGTATAAAAGATTAAAACATTGTCTTTAGTTCTGTTCTCGGAGCCTATTCAACACATTATGGTGCATGCACATTGTCACCACGTGTGTGCCAATTTAAATTCTTTACTTTTATTTGTTCTAAGTTTAGTTTTGTTCTAAAGGACTAATGCCATTAGTTTTAATTTGAAATTTTTGTTTGAAA